ACACACACACACACACACACACACACACACACACACACACACAGATATATATAGACATTGTACTTGTATCAACTTGTTTGAGCTTCTGTGTTTCAACATTGTTACAAATATAGACCTAGTGTTGTTTTTAGATCCATCCATGCTAATATTAGGGCCCCTCCCCGTCTGAAATCTCCTGTCTCCTGTCATAGTATGATGTCATTGTAGCACTATGACATCATGCTCAGAGCTGCCCTTTATGGGTTTGTTTGCAGCTTGCTACTTTCAAGCTGTCTTGGTGCCAGACGTCATGAGGCTGATATGAGCCTGGGTGGATCAGAAACACAGCTGCAGGTCTGTTGTTAATGAGGAACAATGTTGTAACAGTGTTAAAAGATTAACCACGATTCTGCTTCATGTTCATTCCTTTAATCTGCTTCATTTGACTGAGTCTCTCCTGGTCTCTCTGGTCTCTCTCTCTGGTCTCTCTCTCTGGTCTCTCTCTGGTCTCTCTCTGGTCTCTCTCTGGTCTCTCTCTGGTCTCTCTCTCTGGTCTCTCTCTCTGGTCTCTCTCTCTGGTCTCTCTCTCTGGTCTCTCTCTGGTCTCTCTCTCTGGTCTCTCTCTGGTCTCTCTCTGGTCTCTCTCTGGTCTCTCTCTGGTCTCTCTCTGGTCTCTCTCTGGTCTCTCTCTGGTCTCTCTCTCTGGTCTCTCTCTCTGGTCTCTCTCTCTGGTCTCTCTCTCTGGTCTCTCTCTGGTCTCTCTCTGGTCTCTCTCTGGTCTCTCTCTCTGGTCTCTCTCTCTGGTCTCTCTCTCTGGTCTCTCTCTCTGGTCTCTCTCTCTGGTCTCTCTCTGGTCTCTCTCTGGTCTCTCTCTGGTCTCTCTCTGGTCTCTCTCTGGTCTCTCTCTCTGGTCTCTCTCTGGTCTCTCTCTCTGGTCTCTCTCTGGTCTCTCTCTCTGGTCTCTCTCTGGTCTCTCTCTGGTCTCTCTCTGGTCTCTCTCTCTGGTCTCTCTCTCTGGTCTCTCTCTCTGGTCTCTCTCTGGTCTCTCTCTGGTCTCTCCTGGTCTCTCTCTGGTCTCTCTCTCTGGTCTCTCTCTCTGGTCTCTCTCTCTGGTCTCTCTCTCTGGTCTCTCTCTGGTCTCTCTGGTCTCTCTCTGGTCTCTCTCTGGTCTCTCTCTGGTCTCTCCTGGTCTCTCTCTGGTCTCTCTCTGGTCTCTCCTGGTCTCTCTCTGGTCTCTCTCTGGTCTCTCCTGGTCTCTCTCTCTGGTCTCTCTCTCTGGTCTCTCTCTCTGGTCTCTCTCTGGTCTCTCCTGGTCTCTCTCTGGTCTCTCTCTGGTCTCTCTCTGGTCGCTCTCTGGTCTCTCTCTGGTCTCTCTCTGGTCTCTCTCTGGTCTCTCTCTGGTCTCTCTCTGGTCTCTCCTGGTCTCTCTCTGGTCTCTCTCTGGTCTCTCTCTCTGGTCTCTCTCTGGTCTCTCTCTGGTCTCTCTCTGGTCTCTCTCTCTGGTCTCTCTCTCTGGTCTCTCTCTGGTCTCTCTCTGGTCTCTCCTGGTCTCTCTCTGGTCTCTCTCTGGTCTCTCCTGGTCTCTCTCTCTGGTCTCTCTCTGGTCTCTCTCTGGTCTCTCTCTGGTCTCTCTCTGGTCGCTCTCTGGTCTCTCTCTGGTCGCTCTCTGGTCTCTCTCTGGTCTCTCTCTGGTCTCTCTCTGGTCTCTCTCTGGTCTCTCTCTGGTCTCTCTCTCTGGTCTCTCTCTCTCTGGTCTCTCTCTCTGGTCTCTCTCTGGTCTCTCTCTCTGGTCTCTCTCTGGTCTCTCTCTGGTCTCTCTCTGGTCTCTCTCTGGTCTCTCTCTGGTCTCTCTCTGGTCTCTCTCTGGTCTCTCCTGGTCTCTCTCTCTGGTCTCTCTCTCTGGTCTCTCTCTCTGGTCTCTCTCGTCTCTCTCTGGTCTCTCTCTGGTCCTCTGCTCTCTCTGGTTCTCTCTCTGGTCTCTCTCTGGTCTTCTCTCTGGTCTCTCTCTGGTCTCTCTCTGGTCTCTCTCTCTGGTCTCTCTCTCTGGTCTCTCTCTCTGGTCTCTCTCTGGTCTCTCTCTGGTCTCTCTCTCTGGTCTCTCTCTGGTCTCTCTCTCTGGTCTCTCTCTGGTCTCTCTCTGGTCTCTCTCTGGTCTCTCTCTGGTCTCTCTCTCTGGTCTCTCTCTGGTCTCTCTCTGGTCTCTCTCTGGTCTCTCTCTGGTCTCTCTCTGGTCTCTCTCTGGTCTCTCTCTGGTCTCTCTCTGGTCTCTCTCTGGTCTCTCTCTGGTCTCTCTCTGGTCTCTCTCTGGTCTCTCTCTGGTCTCTCTCTCTGGTCTCTCTCTGGTCTCTCTCTGGTCTCTCTCTGGTCTCTCTCTGGTCTCTCTCTGGTCTCTCTCTGGTCTCTCTCTGGTCTCTCTCTCTGGTCTCTCTCTGGTCTCTCTCTCTGGTCTCTCTCTGGTCTCTCTCTGGTCTCTCTCTGGTCTCTCTCTGGTCTCTCTCTGGTCTCTCTCTGGTCTCTCTCTCTGGTCTCTCTCTCTGGTCTCTCTCTGGTCTCTCTCTCTGGTCTCTCTCTCTGGTCTCTCTCTGGTCTCTCTCTGGTCTCTCTCTGGTCTCTCTCTGGTCTCTCTCTGGTCTCTCTCTGGTCTCTCTCTGGTCTCTCTCTCTGGTCTCTCTCTGGTCTCTCTCTGGTCTCTCTCTGGTCTCTCTCTCTGGTCTCTCTCTGGTCTCTCTCTGGTCTCTCTCTCTGGTCTCTCTCTCTGGTCTCTCTCTGGTCTCTCTCTGGTCTCTCTCTGGTCTCTCTCTGGTCTCTCTCTGGTCTCTCTCTGGTCTCTCTCTGGTCTTACATGACACAGTATTTGTTTCTTCTCCATTCTTTATGCGTCTGTAGAAAAGTGTATAAAGTATATATGTGGTAACATATGACCACATTGGTAAACCGGTAAAATGTTCTTGGTTCTGATCAGTTGTATAACTAGAGCTGATGCAGTTGGGTCAGAACAGAACCTGTCAGTTGCAGATACAGGTCAAGTCCAGCTCCGGTCCAAGTACAACAATATTTGGAGATGTGTCCCGAGGCGCTGAGCTGTTCACTTTATACATAATAACCAAACATTGGAAATCAAAATTAGCCTAAAGGCCCCAAAACCACACATTAACAGAAACATGAACACACACTAACACACTGAACCACACATGAACACACTGAACCACACATGAACACACTGAACCACACATGAACACACTGAACCACACATGAACACACTGACCCACACACTAACACACTGAACCACACACTAACACACTGAACCACACACTAACACACTGAACCACACACTAACACACTTAAAGGCACACCGCGGACTTTGTGACCTAAAGAGTTGACACATATGAGTTATTTTATATGAATACTTGGGCCAATATACAGCGCTTGACACTTGCAATGCTCCGAGCGGGGCTGCCCTCTTGAAATACCGCCCATGTAAGTTTCGAGCAGACGGACCGTCGTTTACCAGGTCACGTGACTTGGAAGAAAGATTTGCTTTACGGCTACAGGCGCTGATATACTCGTGGAGCTAAGGCTTTTGCTACTCATTTTTCACCTGCTCAACTCCTGGTCATGGCTGAGGCAAGGAAAAAGTTTAAACCTTCGGAGGAGGCTAAAAAGAGGAAACGCGAAAGGGATCGTGCTCGAGGAAAAACAAGGGTCGATCTGGGAAAGGAGTTTGCTCGTTGGCGCAGGTTGAAAGAAGAAGCTGGATGTAAATCTGATTCTGTTTTTTCAACTTCGTTATTAGACTGGTAAGTGAAGTCTTTGCTCCTAGTATACAGTAAAATGTCTTTGTCATTATTTTCGCTGTTTAGTAGAAGCAAAATACGGGCAGACGAAGCTAACAGGCTACAAACCAAAGCTAACGTGTGTAGCGCTACGTGTGTAAATCTCAGACATTTCGCATATGTAACAGATTCCTACTTTCATAAAACTAACTTGGTTGTGGTAATTCTATACCCCCATGATACTGCTTTGCTGATTCTATTTGCACGTAATTATACTGTGGATGAGTGTGTCTGAATACACACTCAAAAGACACCGGCTGACTGTTTGTTGACTTTTGCAACAGTGCTGAGTTGCTTGTGCCCACTAGGGGCGCTAAACATGAAAGTTGCAGGTCTAGCGCCCCTAGTGGCCAATAGTTACACGGTGTGCCTTTAAGGGCGGCACGGTGGCTGAGTGGATAGTACTCTCGCCTCTCAGCAAGAAGGTCCTGGGTTCAAATCCCGGTTGGACCAGGGCCTTTCTGAGTGGAGTTTGCATGTTCTCCCCGTGGCTGCGTAGGTTTCCTCCGGGTGCTCCGGTTTCCCCTACCACTAAAAATATGTCCAATAGGTCTGACATGTGCCTCCTGTTCTGGCCCCACTCCCAAAAATAACAATTGTAAACTGCTTTGAGACTCCGATGTGCAGTGAAAAGGCGGTATATAAATTACTTACTTACTTAACCACACACTAACACACTGACCCACATGAACACACTGAACCAGTATGACAATGAGGGGGCAAAACTGACATTTCCAACTGTGGGATTATGAAGGACCTGGAAAATCTGAAAAATCTGCTCTATTCAAATCAACAGGATTATAGACCTTTCCAGATTTAATTATTAACATGAACAAACACACACACACAACCGATACACACACACAGATACACACACACCGATACACACACACCGATACACAGACACACACACACACACACATACATACACACACACACATACATACACACACAGACACACACACACAGACACACACACAGATACACACACACACACACACAGATACACACACACACACACACACACAGATACACAGACACACACACACACACACACACACAATACACACACAGACACACACACACAGACACACACACAGATACACACACACACACACACAGATACACAGACACACACACACACACACACAGATACACAGACACACACACACACACACAGACACACACCATGAGGATGGGGACCTTCTCCTGATCTGCTTTGAAGACAGCGCGGTTGCAGAGTCCGGCCACACGGGACAGCGCAGACCAAGTGGCAGAGGTCCTGTCGAAGCCGGACCCTGTGGAGACCAGAGCAGAGTCAGACCTCCTCATCCACTACTCATCTTCATGCTCCTCTTCGGCAGAGAAACTGTCAAACACACACCGCGTCAACACAAACGGATCCCACAGAACCACTGCTGAATCTCCCCACGCACAAAACGCAATGCATTTTTAAGTGGATCCCTAAAGGAAAGCGCTAGGTCAAAATCCCTGTATTAAAATTTCATATTTCTGTTCAATTGAAAAGGAAATGACCTTCTCTGCAGATCCACACCTGGGTCTACAGGACTGAGGCTGTAGACCCAGGACTGAGGCTGATCCAGGACTGAGAATGTAGACCCAGGACTGAGGCTGTAGACCCAGGACTGAGGCTGATCCAAGACTGAGGCTGTAGACCCAGGACTCAACAGAAGCACAGTATCGAGTATCGGATACTGGCTCGGCAGGAAAGACGTAGAAATACAACATTAAAGACAAAAAACCCAAATAGACAGCCTCAGTCCTGGGTCTACAGTCCTGGGTCTACAGCCTCAGTCCTGGGTCTACAGCCTCAGTCCTGAGTCTACAGCCTCAGTCCTGGGTCTACAGTCCTGGGTCTACAGCCTCAGTCCTGGGCCTACAGCCTCAGTCCTGGGTCTACAGCCTCAGTCCTGGGTCTACAGCCTCAGTCCTGGGTCTACAGCCTCAGTCCTGGGTCTACAGCCTCATCATTTGTTAGTGAAAGTGTTAGTAAAGTTCTCCTGTGTTTTTTAGGGCGATACAAAACTACAGTGAGTAGAATAGAGGTGCTCAGGGACAGAGTTTCTCCAGGCCTTTGCTCTTCACCTGCACCTGAACTAATCCTGTGTCATGTTGGATCCATCAGCTCCCTCCCTCGGCCGCCGTCAATCCGCTGCTTTCTCCAATATTTCCTGACGTCCGCGAAAAGCGCCTCCACAACAGAATGCGTTTGTGTTTCTGACATGCAGCAGCGCGGGGACGGCCTGTCTGATACACGGAGATCAAGCACAGCATCAGCATCAGCAGCAGCAGCAGCAGCAGCAGCAGCAGCAGCAGCATCAGGGACCAAAGCTGCAGATGTGAGCAGGATGGAGGTCAGAGAGAGACGCCAGAGCCAGGATCTGCTGAGGCCCAAACGTTACCGAGGATCACTGTCAGAGAGGAGACCAACTCAGCTTTTTATCAGAATTCCCTTGTCAAAAACTAAAGTTATGTTTCGCTGAGTCCATGCTCATGCTGATGGGGAGTGACCGATGATTCGACAGGAATTATTTACGGAGGAGATTGGATTACGGTCATCTGCTCCACAACATTAATATATAGTATATAATAACTAAAACGTTATGCTACCAGAGAGAGACCAGAGAGAGACCAGAGAGAGACCAGAGAGAGACCAGAGAGAGACCAGAGAGAGACCAGAGAGAGACCAGAGAGAGACCAGAGAGAGACCAGAGAGAGAGCAGAGAGAGACCAGAGAGAGACCAGAGAGAGACCAGAGAGAGACCAGAGAGAGACCAGAAAGAGAGACCAGAGAGAGACCAGAGAGAGACCAGAGAGAGACCAGAGAGAGACCAGAGAGAGAACAGAGAGAGAGCAGAGAGAGACCAGAGAGAGACCAGAGAGAGACCAGAGAGACCAGAGAGAGACCAGAGAGAGACCAGAGAGAGACCAGAGAGAGACCAGAGAGAGACCAGAGAGAGACCAGAGAGAGACCAGAGAGAGACCAGAGAGAGACCAGAGAGAGAGCAGAGAGAGACCAGAGAGAGAACAGAGAGACCAGAGAGAGACCAGAGAGAGAACAGAGAGAGAGACCAGAGAGAGACCAGAGAGAGACCAGAGAGAGACCAGAGAGAGACCAGAGAGAGAGGCCAGAGAGAGACCAGAGAGAGACCAGAGAGAGACCAGAGAGAGACCAGAGAGAGACCAGAGAGAGACCAGAGAGAGACCAGAGAGAGAACAGAGAGACCAGAGAGAGACCAGAGAGAGACCAGAGAGAAACCAGAGAGAGACCAGAGAGAGACCAGAGAGAGACCAGAGAGAGACCAGAGAGAGAACAGAGAGAGAGACCAGAGAGAGACCAGAGAGAGCAGAGAGAGACCAGAGAGAGACCAGAGAGAGACCAGAGAGAGACCAGAGAGAGACCAGAGAGAGACCAGAGAGAGACCAGAGAGACCAGAGAGAGACCAGAGAGAGACCAGAGAGAGACCAGAGAGAGAGCAGAGAGAGACCAGAGAGAGACCAGAGAGAGACCAGAGAGAGAACAGAGAGACCAGAGAGAGACCAGAGAGCGACCAGAGAGAGACCAGAGAGAGACCAGAGAGAGACCAGAGAGAGACCAGAGAGAGACCAGAGAGAGACCAGAGAGAGACCAGAGAGAGACCAGAGAGAGACTAGAGAGAGACCAGGAGAGACCAGAGAGAGACCAGAGAGAGCAGCGAGAGAACAGAGAGAGCAGAGAGAGACCAGAGAGAGGCCAGAGAGAGACCAGAGAGAGACCAGAGAGAGACCAGAGAGAGACCAGAGAGCGACCAGAGAGAGACCAGAGAGAGAGACCAGAGAGAGACCAGAGAGAGACCAGAGAGAGACCAGAGAGAGCCCAGAGAGAGACCAGAGAGCGAACAGAGAGAGGCCAGAGAGAGACCAGAGAGAGACCAGAGAGAGGCCAGAGAGAGAGACCAGAGAGAGACCAGAGAGAGACCAGAGAGAGACCAGAGAGAGAGCAGAGAGAGACCAGAAAGAGAACAGAGAGAACAGAGAGAGACCAGAGAGAGACCAGAGGGAGACCAGAGAGAGAGACCAGAGAGAGAACAGAGAGAGACCAGAGAGAGACCAGTGAGAGACCAGAGGGAGACCAGAGAGAGAGACCAGAGAGAGACCAGAGAGAGACCAGAGAGAGAGACTTCTGGAGGCTCTTTATGAATCCAGATTCTTAAATCCAGCTCTTAGAAAAATCAATGACTCTGCTGGCCTCAGGAAAATGTTCCAGCTTCTTCCCTCTGGCAGAAGATATCATTGGCTGCTGGACATGCTAACATGCTAACATGCTAACAGAACAAAGCACTTTACTGATCTTGTGTTGAAGCTGTTTCTGATGATTGGTTTTTAGTGTGTTTTATTCCTGCATTTGTCTGATGCACTCTGGGGACTCTTGCACATGTTCCAAATGGCAAATCATCGTAATCTAAAACTAAGTGTTGTTGCGTCAACTGTTAAGAGCCATAAACCATGTCATAATCATGTATCCACTCCTCCGTGATTTACCATTAAGTGTTCTGTATTCTCCTGTGCAAACCTCCGGAGTCGGACAGATTGTGTTAAATGCATTTGTGGATTTGAGTGGAGCCTGAAATAGCAGCGGTTCCAGTCGGTTGTGTTGACGAGTTCAGTGATGGAGGAAAGAGTGAGTCATTAATGAGATGAGGAGAGAGAAGAGAGAGGGAGGAGCTGGCTCTGAGCACCGAACAGATGAGAACCAGCGGGAGTCAATGTGCCATCACCGCTTCACCTCCACACGGTCTCTCTCATCTCGGCAGAATGGGATCTCTCTGGATTACAAAGAAGTCCTTATCTTGAGGCTGCATGAATCGTTGCCAATGCAGAGTGTGGTTAGCATTGCTTCTCCGTTGCATTGTTTACCGCTGAACTACACACTGGCTCTGATTGGTCCGTTCTACTTCCTGTTTCTCAGAGATGTCTTCTGTTTGACCTAGTAGGAGCAGAAAAATTGAGCTGAGCGGAGGCACTAGGGGGCGCTGTGCTGGCAGGAAGGTCCAAGGACGGGTGATGAGCCAGGACATGGGTAAAGGGGAAGACAGAACCTAAAGAATGTATATAAATGATTAACGAGCTGCAGCTTCAGTCCACAGTGAGACCAACTAAGACACACCTGAAAGAGTCTCCTCTCCTTTCACACTAAGATATGCCAAGGAGAAATAGTTCAACCAATGACGAGAGGCCTCAAGGATCAGAAGCTTTAATCAGACCAGTTTTGTGTTCAGAAAAAGAAAAAAACTTTGAAAAGGAATCGACATCGACTTCCTGCACTTTGGACCAAGGACTGTGTTTCTTTGGATTTTCTAGTGTGAAAATTGTTTCAAAAAATAAATTACTAAAAGAATCAAATACACAACGTTCGTGGGATGATCAGCGACAGTATAACACTTTCTCCCAGTTTGCCTCCCCCTCTCTCTCCCTCTGCTCTCCATCCCCCAGTTTGTCTCCCTCTCTCATTGATCTGGTCCTTTTCTCCCAGTTTGCCTCCCCCATCTCCCCCATTTCTCCCTCTGGTCCCATTACCTGAGTTTGTCTTCCCCTCTGGTTTCTTTCACTCCCCAGTTCCCTCCCCCCTCTCTCTCCTTCTGGTCTCTCCCTCCTCTCTCACCACTCTGGTCTCCCCCCCCCCTCTTCTCACCACTGGTCTCTTTCCCTCCCTCTGGTCTCTCCCCCCTCTCTCCCTTTCTCCCCCCCTCTCACCCCCTCTCTCCCCCTCTCTCTCGCCCTCTCTCCCCCTCTCTCACCGCTCTGGTCCTCCGTGGTGTCGGCGTCGTGGATCTGGTTGTCGAACCACATGTGGGCCACGGTCCTCTCTCTCCCCCCTCTCCCCCCCTCTCTCCCCCCTCTCTCACCGCTCTGGTCTCTTTCTCTCCCTCTGGTCTCTCCCCCCTCTCTCCCCCCTCTCTCCCCCTCTCCCCCCTCTCTCCCCCCTCTCTCACCGCTCTGGTCCTCTCTCTCCCCCCTCTCTCACCGCTCTGGTCCTCTCTCTCCCCCCTCTCTCACCACTCTGGTCTCTTTCTCTCCCTCTGGTCTCTCCCCCCTCTCTCCCCCCTCTCTCACCGCTCTGGTCCTCTCTCTCCCCCCTCTCTCACCGCTCTGGTCCTCTCTCTCCCCCCTCTCTCACCCTCTCTCTCCCCCTCTCTCCCCCCTCTCTCACCCTCTCTCTCCCCCTCTCTCCCCCCTCTCTCACCGCTCTGGTCCTCCGTGGTGTCGGCGTCGTGGATCTGGTTGTCGAACCACATGTGGGCCACGGTCCTCTCTCTCCCCCCCTCTCTCCCCCTCTCTCTCCCCCTCTCTCCCCCCCTCTCTCCCCCCTCTCTCCCCCTCTCTCCCCCTCTCTCACTGCTCTGGTCCTCCGTGGTGTCGGCCTCGTGGATCTGGTTGTCGAACCACATGTGGGCCACGGTCCTCTCTCTCCCCCCTCTCCCCCCCTCTCTCCCCCCTCTCTCCCCCTCTCTCCCCCTCTCTCACCGCTCTGGTCCTCCGTGGTGTCGGCGTCGTGGATCTGGTTGTCGAACCACATGTGGGCCACGGTCATGCGGTTCTGGGTCAGGGTTCCGGTCTTGTCGGAGCAGATGGTGGAGGTGGAGCCCAGCGTCTCCACGGCCTCCAGGTTCTTCACCAGACAGTTCTTCTTGGCCATGCGTTTGGCGGTGAGCGTCAGGCACACCTGGGGAGAGGGGGGAGACGGGGGAGACGGGGGAGAGCGGGGAGAGATGTGTGAGAAGCACTTTTATAGAAATTATAAAATAACCTTGGATTTATTTTTATTTTTTTTCATTTGTATCTAATTTTTATTTGTATTTAATTTCCCCTGACAGAGAAATGGAGTAAGAAAGAGGTAGATGAATGAATGTATTTGGGGCGACAGTGGCTCAGTTAGAGCATCGGCCCGTGGGTTTGAATCCACCATGAGACCTACTTCACGACTCCCACTGATGACTGCTGTTGTTGTGTCCTTGGGCAATACACTTAACCCCACTTTGCCTGAATCCCCCGCTGAAAGAGCAAGGCTCCTGTGGACTCAGCACCTGCAGGAGGATCAGTGAGGGGCTGGAGCTCTGACTGCCACCCCCGACCCAGACATGGATTAAGGGGAAGAAAATGGATGGATTTAATTTTCCTTTTTATTTACATATTATTTATATTTTATTTTAATGTTTTTCTTTTTTTGTTCCCTCATTTGTTTTTCTCATTGGGGATCAGGGGAGGGGGGAGTGAACGGGTAAACAGTCAGGATGGGAGACTAATGTAGTGACATTTAGACTTAGAATTTACCGTCCTCAGAGTCTGTTTGTGTGGACATAAGAAAATGCAATTAAAAAGATGTAAATCAGCACGAACCTTGGCTGTAAATGTTGTGGTTCACAGGTTGTTGTGTGTACTCTCTCTATCAATCAAGTCAATAAAATAAATGTGTGAGTTTGGTGCCATTTGGTTCTAGTTGATGACGGGGAAGGGGAGTAGTCCTCATCAGACTTTATTGTTTAGTGCTTTTTCACAGACTGATTGTCAGAACGTTTTTTGTTTTTTTGTGAATTATTTATTTCCTCCAAACACAGTTGGGTAAAGTGGGCATTGCTCTCCCCCGGCTCTGTCCACGGCCACATGCTCACTGCTTTTAATTATCCTGTTTCTCACACGGAAAACAGGATGATTTTATTCAGCAATCTCAATTGTATCGCATTGTTAGAATAATGCATATTTCACATCAACCCACTCACTCTGACAGATAAAACTATACAATCCTAACATAACTAAAACCAGGTTCAAGAGCCAGACCCCCAAAAGACCCAGAGGAGAGAGAAGGCCCCAGACCTCCACCAGGTCTAAGAGCCAGACCCCACAGGACCCAGAGGAGAGAGGAAGCCCCAGACCTCCACCAGGTCTAAGAGCCAGACCCCACAGGACCCAGAGGAGAGAGGAAGCCCCAGACCTCCACCAGGTCTAAGAGCCAGACCCCACAGGACCCAGAGGAGAGAGGAAGCCCCAGACCTCCACCAGGTCTAAGAGCCAGACCCCACAGGACCCAGAGGAGAGAGGAAGCCGAGGGTCCAAATCTGTTTTTCCTTTTAGTTTTTGATAACTTTACAAACTCTGCACTTATGATCCAGTTCTGTCTTTGATGATCACTAAAGAGTAGACAGAAACAAGTTATGTCAAAAGAGAAAATCCCATAATGGACTGGGATAAGCCAAAAATAGTAGAAACGGAAAAAAATAAATACAAAAAGATGGATATGAGAGGCGATTGAATACAGGAAGCGGGGCGCACAACCATCAACAGAGACGAGGGGGCTTTCACCTTGGCTCACACTTGGACTAACTTCTCCAGAGGGGCGTGGTCAGTCTGACAGGACCACAGCTGATCAGAGGTGCGTCACGCCTTGACCATGCGTCATGCAACGAAGGCGGAAGTTTTCCACCACAACATGTGGAAACTAAGCTGAACTAGCTTCTTTAAATTTTAGTCTTATTAAAAGAATCTTTTAATCCTAAAATATGAGACAAAAAATACTTTTTACATTTATCTGTGGAATTATATAAATTTGAAACACAGCCGAGAAATAGATAGATAACTTTATTGTTTTCTATTTGATTGCTGGGTAGTTTGGTGGGTCTGAGATTTAGCGGTGGGTGAGACGTTTAGGGCTAAACACAGTGGTTCTCTCTGGCACCCTCTGTCTGATGGGTGGGAGTGAGGGTCTATCTCGTCTCAGCGTTAGAGAGTCCGGCTCCAGGCCTGGGACTGCACTGAGCTTTACTGGTCGCTGAATCAGAGGTAGCTTCACCCTCTCAGATGTACTTCTCAGATCCTGGTTGTAGCTTTTGTTTGCCAATACTACTCTTTTAGTCACGATTGGAAATGCTCTCGGGACCAACATCCTTTTGGGAGCAGGGTTCTGGACAATGGATGTACTGTATGGAGAGGATGGAGCTGCTTAACACATGTAAGTGTTGTAGATGTGTTTAGGCGAGGCAGAGGAACGCAGTCTGGGCCTTTATCTTTGACTTGTTCCAGATTATTCTTTGCCTCATCGACTGATATGGCTGTCTTATTCGTCAGCTTCAGATTCTGACTCGTTATTTTCTCCATTTCCTTTTGCACACTACAGCCCATGTGCCCAGTCTCCATGTTTTTGCGGGTCCCACACATCCGCTTGGGCTTCATGGCATAGTTTTTACCATTTAAATAGTAGTAAAGACCCTCGTCTTCCTCCAGCCGTTGTTTTTGTTCCAGCAGAGGGAGAACAATGCGGTCTTCAGCCACTGCTCTCTGGATGGCCCGTTCCACATTCTCCAGGTGTTGTTGGTGGTCTTTCATGTTCCTCTGGGCCTGTCTCTCTTTCTCCTCTAGCTCCTGCTGTTTGTGACGTGCCTTTAGAATAATATTACAGCTGATCAAAGAGCGGTTGTACTGTGCGCAGTTCTCCGCGTCCTGCCGCCTTTGCTCCTGCTTGTGCTTTGACTCCAGCTCTTCCTGTTGTCTCCGCTCTCTCTGCTCTCGTACGAGGTTGATCTGGTGAAGCTGTTCCTCTCTCTTGTCCTTCTGCTTGCGTTCCACCTCAAGGTTTAAGAACTTGGCTAACTCTCTCGCCGTCTCCTTCTGTGGCTGTTGCACTAGTTCTCGCTCAAACACCCAGACTTGGGCTTCCCGTTTCTCCTCTTGCCGAGCTTTCTCCTCCTGCTGTAGCTTTAACTGAGCCAGTCTGTGGACAGCCTCCTCTCTCTGCAGCTGCTGTTGTCGGTATCTCTCTCGTGTGTCCCTCTGGATCTCCTCTTGTCTCGCTTCAGCCTCGGCCTGCTCTCACTGGCACTGCCCTCCAGCTCTGCGTTCTGCTGCTGCTCCTTCTGCAGCCGTTGGCGTCTCAAATCCACACTTTCTGCGTAGATCTTGTACCTTTGAGTTTGAGTGCAGCGTTTGTCCACAAGCTCATCATCTGGGACCTGAGGAGGAGGAGGGATGCCGGGTTTCTGTCGTTTCTCCTGAGCCTTTCTCTCCACATACTGTTTATTATAAGTAAGCACAGCCTGCCGGTCCTGTTCTCTGCGCTCCTCTATCTTCAGCTCAAACATTCGGACATCTTTGTTTATGGGTAGTCGTCCTCCTGTGTATTCGGACACAGTGTTCCGTTCCGCCTTCTCTCTGGCCTTCTTCTCCTGCAGCTGTTGGCGTAGGACCTGGTTGTCCTTTAGCACTTTGGACAGAAGCTCAGAGCTCTGCAGGTCCCTGGACTGGGCTGACTCTTGCCAGGACTTTGCTTTGGCTGCCTCCAGCACCCTTCGATTCTGTTCCTCTTGGAGTCTTGTCTTCTCAGCAAGCAGAGCCTCCTGGTTCGCCACTCTTCTCCTTCTCACCTCCTCAATCGATCCTCTATACTCCTGCTTCAGCATTCTGGCCTTGGAAATCAAATGTCTTTATCCTACTCAACTCCTACTAGAATAAAGTGCTTGCAGACGGGGAGGAGTGGCCTCATCTGACAAAAGTCCATGTTCAAATGCATTTCCTCTGCAAGTTATTCTCAAAAGGTTTCCATGACGTCACAGCTGATGTCACCAAAAGAAGAACTTGGAGTTGCCGAGGAAACAAGTCGCAGTATAATCTAGAGCTACGCAAAGAGACATTGTTTGGACATTGTTTGAGTTTGGACATCCAGTTCCAAACTCAATTCAATAAATTTTTGTATAGGCTTAACCAACATCAACGACAGATCAGAGAATCAAATAGAATTCCAACACATTAGGTCCAATAAAGTGTTTAGAATTTCACTCTGAACCAGAGCTGAGAAAATGGTCAGAACTAAACATACTGTAAAGCAGAGGAAGCAGCTGATCACCAGCGGCTCTCTCTCTCTCTCTCTCTCATACGAAGCGGGATGTCCATAAATGACCATACATAATAATAAACTCATACAAACTCTTAGGGAGATGGATTAGCATGAGTTCTGTTTGTTGTTGTCCTGAACCTCTCACCAGTTTGAACAGTGCCCTCTGCTGTTATGGGGGTAAAATAATCTTTTAAAACTTGACATGCTGTAATTTAGTTCATTGATTGATTTAATTGAATCAACGCAACACGTAGATCATTCTGAACAGAAGGAGTCCATAATTGTTGAGCTGTCAGACTGATTGACCTGAGGGGTGTTGACTGCTGCTGTGTGTCCTTGAGCAAGACACTTAACCTGCCTTGTGTCTGCGAACAATGGTGTATGGTGCTTTGAAGAAATTTGAGCGCCTTTAAAAAAAAGTGACTATTTCCCCTTTAAATATAATATAAAAGTGACCATTTCTCATTTGAATGTCCTGGTTATTACAGGGCTGGAGCTGAACCATCTGCAGCGTGTTTCTCGATAACAGAACAATGGCGTCTCCCACACTTGGAACAAAGCCAGTTTTGCTCAATAGGCGTCGCTTACATCAAAGACCATTGTTGCAGAAGTGTTTACACTGGTCTTCTCCTGTCACTGTTCCCAAATGGCTGCGACCGCACAGGGCAGAGCGGGGAAGCAGAGGATGGAGGCTTGTTAGCGGAGGAGTGGCCGTAGCCTGGGCGCTGATGCGTGGCACAGGTGCTGCTGGTTGTGATTTGGCGTCTCCGCTCGGCTGGAGCCAGAGGCAGGTGCAGAGAGAGGAAGATGAAACGACACGCTCCATATGGCCAGGCAGAGAGTGGAAGAATGCAGCTCCACGCGGACGCCTTCGGTCCGAGCGGCTGTTTGTTGTTTACCTCCCGCAGACTTCACTCGTCATCAGAAAAACAAACAATAAAGAATGAGGAATGTGTTTGCGGCGTGTGTAAAAATAATGTGTCTGTTTTCTCCTGGTTAACCCTTTAGGCGCCAGAGGGTTTCATAAACGTTATGGAAAGAGGCAAAAAGGTAGAGTCCTGAAACTTTAATAAATAAATAAAAGAAACATGGAAGAAAACAAGAATATTTTATTGCAAAACAGATAATTTTACACAAAAGTAACTTATTTTTAATTGTGTACTGTGATAACTTTGTATAACTGTTAATCAACTGTTTATGTACATCTGTGACATGTTAGTTAACTCTGAGGAGCACAGGGACTGGCCTCCTGCTGGGACTCTGAGGAGCACAGGGACTGGCCTCCTGCTGGGACTCTGAGGAGCACAGGGACTGGCCTCCTGCTGGGACTCTGAGGAGCACAGGGACTGGCCTCCTGCTGGGACTCTGAGGAGCACAGGGACTGGCCTCCTGCTGGGACTCTGAGGAGCACAGGGACTGGACTCCTGCTGGGACTCTGAGGAGCACAGGGACTGGACTCCTGCTGGGACTCTGAGGAGCACAGGGACTGGCCTCCTAGGACTCTGAGGAGCACAGGGACTGGACTCCTGCTGGGACTCTGAGGAGCACAGGGACTGGCCTCCTGCTGGGACTCTGAGGAGCACAGGGACTGGCCTCCTGCTGGGACTCTGAGGAGCACAGGGACTGGCCTCCTGCTGTGATTTTATCTTCACTCTTTTTAATGCACTGTGATTATTTATGATTTTCCCAAATTTTAGGAAGAACCGTCCTCTCTGGTCTTATTGGACGAGCACGTACCATCAGAATGATTGACAACTGGGAGGACCAATAGTCTTGATGATCCACCTGAAAGTAGAAATTCCTCTTGTGCACCTGTAATATTTGTCGCCTTGTGAAGAACTGAGACTTTCTTGTTTTCTAACAGAATGGGCCAAGGTACAAACTGTGCTTTGATAAGAAAAGATACACTTTATTGTGTCACGGGGTGAACTGAGTGAGGACTCAAATGCAGGAGTGCCAAAATAAAGCTTTTAATAAAACAAACTCCCACTGATGACTGCTGTCGTTGTGTCCTTGGGCAAGACACTTAACCCCACTTTGCCCAAAGCCCCCACTGAAAGATCAAGGCTATGCTCACACTCAGAGAGCAGCCGTCCTCCTGTGGACTCACCACCTGCAGAGGGTCAGTGAGGGGCTGGTGCTATGAGACTTGGGTGGCATCTCTGATTGCCACCCCCCTGACCCAGAAATGGACTAAAGGGTAGAAAATGGATGGATGGATGGATAAAACAAACTCCATAAATCCAAAGTAACCAGGACAGAACATGACAAAACAATGAAGCAGCAACAAGGGGAGAGAAGCAAAGGGTACATATAGACACAGACACAGGTGAAACACATCAGGGCGGGGCACACAATCAAGACAGGGGAACACAGGACTGGAAGTCAAACTGAAACAAAACCACAGAACTTATTTCAAAATAAAAGCAAAATACAAAATCCACACCATGACATATTGATCTGACAATGGAGAGATGCAGCGAAATGAAAGCCTTGACAAAGCCCTGGGACCTCTGCCCTGGGACCTCTGCCCTGTCCTTCTGCCCTGGGACCTCTGCCCTGGGACCTCTGCCCTGGGACCTCTGCCTTCTCCTTCTGCCCTTCTGCCCTGGGACCTCTGCCCTGGGACCTTTGCCCTGGGACGTCTGCCCTGGGACCTCTGCCCTGGGACCTCTGCCTTCTCCTTCTGCCCTGGGACCTCTGCCCTGGGACCTCTGCCCTGGGACCTTTGCCCTGGGACCTCTGCCCTGTCCTTCTGCCCTGGGACCTCTGCCCTGTCCTTCTGCCCTGGGGACCTTTGCGCTGGGACCTCTGCCCTGTCCTTCTGCCTTGGGACCTTTGCCCTGTCCTTCTGCCCTGGGACCTTTGCCCTGGGACCTCTGCCCTGTCCTTCTGCCTTGGGACCTTTGCCCTGTCCTTCTGCCCTGGGACCTTTGCCCTGGGACCTTTGCCCTGTCCTTCTGCCCTGGGACCTTTGCCCTGGGACCTCTGCCCTGTCCTTCTGCCCTGGGACCTTTGCCCTGGGACCTCTGCCCTGTCCTTCTGCCCTGTCCTTCTGCCCTGGGACCTTTGCCCTGGGACCTCTGCCCTGTCCTTCTGCCTTGGGACCTCTGCCCTGTCCTTCTGCCTTGGGACCTCTGACCTGGGACCTCTGCCCTGGGACCTCTGACCTGGGACCTCTGCCCAGTGTCTAAACGCTGTTATTGGGCTCGGCGGTGCTGTCTGCGGCTGAATGCACCTGGTTTGGAGCTGGCAGAGCAGCGTTTCTCACCTGCTTCAACTGCCTTTCATTCTTACACACATTATCTTTGCTCTGCGTGCGATAAAGAGGCCGATGGAGCCATTGTGCAGCTCAACACGGCTCTTTGTCAGTGTAAAATATGATGTTTGGGACAATTATTTGACTTATTAAAGCAATGATCTTTCTCAGTCACTTCTTAAAAGGAGCTGGGAAATAGGTTCGACAATAAAAGAAGAGAAACGAGCCTAATGGAGTGCGTTCCTTCTACGTGAGCCTTTTTATCCACGATTCATTCTGCTCTTTGTGAATGATGACATTGTAAAGCTATGGTTAGAGATGTGCAGGCTCTGAGCTGTTTAGAGCCGCTGATGCAGAGGGTTTCAGGACAGTGCAGACTCTGAGCTGATGCAGAGGGTTTCAGGACAGTGCAGGCTCTGAGCTGATGCAGAGGGTTTCAGGACAGTGCAGGCTCTGAGCTGATGCAGAGGGTTTCAGGACAGTGCAGGCTCTGAGCTGATGCAGAGGGTTTCAGGACAGTGCAGGCTCTGAGCTGATGCAGAGGGTTTCAGGACAGTGCAGACTCTGAGCTGATGCAGAGGGTTTCAGGACAGTGCAGGCTCTGAGCTGATGCAGAGGGTTTCAGGACAGTGCAGGCTCTGAGCTGATGCAGAGGGTTTCAGGACAGTGCAGACTCTGAGCTGATGCAGAGGGTTTCAGGACAGTGCAGGCTCTGAGCTGATGCAGAGGGTTTCAGGACAGTGCAGGCTCTGAGCTGATGCAGAGGGTTTCAGGACAGTGCAGGCAGGCTCTGAGCTGATGCAGAGGGTTTCAGGACAGTGCAGGCTCTGAGCTGATGCAGAGGGTTTCAGGACAGTGCAGGCTCTGAGCTGATGCAGAGGGTTTCAGGACAGTGCAGGCTCTGGGCTGATGCAGAGGGTTTCAGGACAGTGCAGGCTCTGAGCTGATGCAGAGGGTTTCAGGACAGTGCAGGCTCTGAGCTGATGCAGAGGGTTTCAGGACAGTGCGGAGCTCTGAGCTGATGCAGAGGGTTTCAGGACAGTGCAGGCTCTGAGCTGATGCAGAGGGTTTCAGGACAGTGCAGGCTCTGAGCTGATGCAGAGGGTTTCAGGACAGTGCAGGCTCTGAGCTGATGCAGAGGGTTTCAGGACAGTGCAGACTCTGAGCTGATGCAGAGGGTTTCAGGACAGTGCAGGCTCTGAGCTGATGCAGAGGGTTTCAGGACAGTGCAGGCTCTGAGCTGATGCAGAGGGTTTCAGGACAGTGCAGGCTCTGAGCTGATGCAGAGGGTTTCAGGACAGTGCAGACTCTGAGCTGATGCAGAGGGTTTCAGGACAGTGCAGGCTCTGAGCTGATGCAGAGGGTTTCAGGACAGTGCAGACTCTGAGCTGATGCAGAGGGTTTCAGGACAGTGCAGACTCTGAGCTGATGCAGAGGGTTTCAGGACAGTGCAGGCTCTGAGCTGATGCAGAGGGTTTCAGGACAGTGCAGGCTCTGAGCTGATGCAGAGGGTTTCAGGACAGTGCAGGCTCTGAGCTGATGCAGAGGGTTTCAGGACAGTGCAGGCTCTGAGCTGATGCAGAGGGTTTTCAGGACAGTGCAGGCTCTGAGCTGATGCAGAGGGTTTCAGGACAGTGCAGGCTCTGAGCTGATGCAGAGGGTTTCAGGACAGTGCAGGCTCTGAGCTGATGCAGAGGGTTTCAGGACAGTGCAGGCTCTGAGCTGATGCAGAGGGTTTCAGGACAGTGCAGGCTCTGAGCTGATGCAGAGGGTTTCAGGACAGTGCAGGCTCTGAGCTGATGCAGAGGGTTTCAGGACAGTGCAGGCTCTGAGCTGATGCAGAGGGTTTCAGGACAGTGCAGGCTCTGAGCTGATGCAGAGGGTTTCAGGACAGTGCAGACTCTGAGCTGATGCAGAGGGTTTCAGGACAGTGCAGGCTCTGAGCTGATGCAGAGGGTTTCAGGACAGTGCAGGCTCTGAGCTGATGCAGAGGGTTTCAGGACAGTGCAGGCTCTGAGCTGATGCAGAGGGTTTCAGGACAGTGCAGACTCTGAGCTGATGCAGAGGGTTTCAGGACAGTGCAGACTCTGAGCTGATGCAGAGGGTTTCAGGACAGTGCAGGCTCTGAGCTGATGCAGAGGGTTTCAGGACAGTGCAGACTCTGAGCTGATGCAGAGGGTTTCAGGACAGTGCAGGCTCTGAGCTGATGCAGAGGGTTTCAGGACAGTGCAGGCTCTGAGCTGATGCAGAGGGTTTCAGGACAGTGCAGGCTCTGAGCTGATGCAGAGGGTTTCAGGACAGTGCAGGCTCTGAGCTGATGCAGAGGGTTTCAGGACAGTGCAGGCTCTGAGCTGATGCAGAGGGTTTCAGGACAGTGCAGACTCTGAGCTGATGCAGAGGGTTTCAGGACAGTGCAGGCTCTGAGCTGATGCAGAGGGTTTCAGGACAGTGCAGGCTCTGAGTGATGCAGAGGGTTTCAGGACAGTGCAGGCTCTGAGCTGATGCAGAGGGTTTCAGGACAGTGCAGGCTCTGAGCTGATGCAGAGGGTTTCAGGACAGTGCAGACTCTGAGCTGATGCAGAGGGTTTCAGGACAGTGCAGACTCTGAGCTGATGCAGAGGGTTTCAGGACAGTGCAGGCTCTGAGCTGATGCAGAGGGTTTCAGGACAGTGCAGACTCTGAGCTGATGCAGAGGGTTTCAGGACAGTGCAGGCTCTGAGCTGATGCAGAGGGTTTCAGGACAGTGCAGGCTCTGAGCTGATGCAGAGGGTTTCAGGACAGTGCAGGCTCTGAGCTGATGCAGAGGGTTTCAGGACAGTGCAGACTCTGAGCTGATGCAGAGGGTTTCAGGACAGTGCAGGCTCTGAGCTGATGCAGAGGGTTTCAGGACAGTGCAGGCTCTGAGCTGATGCAGAGGGTTTCAGGACAGTGCAGGCTCTGCGAGCTGATGCAGAGGGTTTCAGGACAGTGCAGGCTCTGAGCTGATGCAGAGGGTTTCAGGACAGTGCAGACTCTGAGCTGATGCAGAGGGTTTCAGGACAGTGCAGACTCTGAGCTGATGCAGAGGGTTTCAGGACAGTGCAGGCTCTGAGCTGATGCAGAGGGTTTCAGGACAGTGCAGACTCTGAGCTGATGCAGAGGGTTTCAGGACAGTGCAGGCTCTGAGCTGATGCAGAGGGTTTCAGGACAGTGCAGGCTCTGAGCTGATGCAGAGGGTTTCAGGACAGTGCAGGCTCTGAGCTGATGCAGAGGGTTTCAGGACAGTGCAGACTCTGGGCTGATGCAGAGGGTTTCAGGACAGTGCAGGCTCTGAGCTGATGCAGAGGGTTTCAGGACAGTGCAGACTCTGGGCTGATGCAGAGGGTTTCAGGACAGTGCAGGCTCTGAGCTGATGCAGAGGGTTTCAGGACAGTGCAGGCTCTGAGCTGATGCAGAGGGTTTCAGGACAGTGCAGGCTCTGAGCTGATGCAGAGGGTTTCAGGACAGTGCAGGCTCTGAGCTGATGCAGAGGGTTTCAGGACAGTGCAGGCTCTGAGCTGATGCAGAGGTTTCGGACAGTGCAGGGTCAGGACAGTGCAGGCTCTGAGCTGATGCAGAGGTTTCAGGACAGTGCAGGCTCTGAGCTGATGCAGAGGGTTTCAGGACAGTGCAGGCTCTGAGCTGATGCAGAGGGTTTCAGGACAGTGCAGACTCTGGGCTGATGCAGAGGGTTTCAGGACAGTGGCAATGATCCCAGATATGTATTCACATTTATGGACATTGGTCATCTGCCCCTTACGGACCGATGGCTCTATGAATTTTTTATCTTTCTATTTCCTGTGTTTGAACGGTTCTGATGTGACTGGGCGACTTTGTTGACTGTTTATTTACTTTGAGTTCAATACATCAAACATTAATTATCAAATGTCACTACACAGAATTTTGTAGCAAGTGATTCATTTATATTTATGTATTACAACATTGTACATTATTCAAACTCAAAAAGGAGTGGGAGGAAGGAAAATATAATACATTCAAGCAAACCTACACTTTGTAAAGTTTAGGGCTTTACAAAAATATATTGAATTGAGGAGTTCACTGTGGAACTTTTACATTCTCTTGTAGATTTCTCCAGTGTGAGATCAATAATATCTATCTCATCTTTTCTCTTGCAGATTGTCGGGCATCAGAGGAGGTGGTGTCGCTCTCACAGCTGGACCCTGGACCTCTGTGGGGAGTCTGGTCCAGGACGATCCTAGCAGTTACTCAGCCGTCCCTAGTTCAGTCTCTCAGGGCAGATACTCCGAGGGACAAATACAAATCAAGAATGTCTGTTGATGATTTCATGTCCCAACGTAAGACCTATTTGTGGGTCGGAACAGGGTCTTTCTAAGTGGAGTTTGCATGTTCTCCCCGTGCCTGCGTAGGTTTCCTCCGGGTACTGCTCACTAGGTTAAATCCTCCAGCTCTGGTCCTGACCAAGCCGAGCCTCAACATCTGGAGATGGGTTCCCGGGCGCTGTTACTACGGCGACCACTGCTCCTGACGTAAGCTTTAAGGCATCAGGGTCAAATGCAGAGGATTGGATTTCCCTTTACATTTACGTTTGTAGACAGGGTTTCTCACCTCACTGTAGAGACAGGGTTTCTCACCTCACTGTACAGACAGGGTTTCTCACCTCATTAAACAGACAGGGTTTCTCACCTCACTGTACAGACAGGGTTTCTCACCTCACTGTAGAGACAGGGTTTCTCACCTCACAGTACCGACAGGGTTTCTCACCTCATTAAACAGACAGGGTTTCTCACCTAACTGTACAGACATGGTTTCTCTCCTCACTGTACAGACAGGGTTTCTCACCTCACTGTACAGACAGGGTTTCTCACCTCACTCCACAGACAGGGTTTCTCACCTCACTGCACAGACAGGGTTTCTCACCTCACTCCACAGACAGGGTTTCTCACCTCACTGCACAGACAGGGTTTCTCGCCTCACAGTATAAACAGGGTTTCTCACCTCACTAAACAGACAGGGTTTCTCACCTCACTCCACAGACAGGGTTTCTTACCTCACTCCACAGACAGGGTTTCTCACCTCACTCCACAGACAGGGTTTCTCACCTCACTGTACAGACAGGGTTTCTCTCCTCACTCCACAGACAGGGTTTCTCGCCTCACTGTACAGACAGGGTTTCTCTCCTCACTCCACAGACAGGGTTTCTCACCTCACTGTACAGACAGGGTTTCTCTCCTCACTCCACAGACAGGGTTTCTCACCTCACTGTACAGACAGGGTTTCTCTCCTCACTCCACAGACAGGGTTTCTCTCCTCACTGTACAGACAGGGTTTCTCGCCTCACTGTACAGACAGGGTTTCTCTCCTCACTAAACAGACAGGGTTTCTCGCCTCACTGCACAGACAGGGTTTCTCACCTCACTGCACAGACAGGGTTTCTCACCTCACTGCACAGACAGGGTTTCTCACCTCACTGCACAGACAGGGTTTCTCACCTCACTGCACAGACAGGGTTTCTCGCCTCACTGCACAGACAGGGTTTCTCACCTCACTGCACAGACAGGGTTTCTCACCTCACTGCACAGACAGGGTTTCTCACCTCACTGTACAGACAGGGTTTCTCATGATGAGGGCCGTCTTTTGTATCGTTGTTGTTTGTGTATTGTGTGTATCATTTTCATCTGTCTGTGAAAGTCTGTGGAGCCGTGAGTTTGGGCGAACGATACCACAATATTCAGCATTACAGCCGTTAGTGATATATAGCTCATAAACTGGAATGGTCAACTTTTTAAACAATTACTTTTAATGAATATGGGTCTGGATATTATTTTTTGGAAGTGTAGGACGCTGCACAATGTCGGCTGATTTATTCTCACATTTAATTATTACTCTTTGCCTTCTGGGTTTAATCTTTGCAGTAAAATAAATGATGTCTGTCCCCAGCTGCAGTGTCTGGAGGTCGGAGGCAGAGAGAGGACTGTGGTCAAATACTCCGGGACCTGGTTCTGGATTAAACCGAGGAGAATGGACCGAAGTTTGGTGTTTTTTAATCCACATGTTACGCAGGCGGAAAAACAGCGAGTGCCCAAGGCCAAAAAAACAAAAACACCTCCAACATCTCAATCCACAGCAACAAATGTGCTCCGGGGAACTCTGTGGTTCAAACCCTCACAGCAACATGGACAAGTCTGTTTACTTTTTACTGTCTAACTACGGAGCAAGGTTCAATAATAAAGGCAAGGCCAGTTTAATATATACAGTCCATACACAAGGCTGAACAAAACACGACAGACACCATCACAGAAGAAGCCTGTCTCACAGTTTTAGGAAGACTGTTCCAGATTTTAGCTGCATGAATCTTAAATGCAGCCTCCTCATGTTTAGTCCTGACTCTGGGACCAGCAGGAGTCCAGTCCCTGTGCTCCTCAGAGTCCCAGCAGGAGGCCAGTACCTGTGCTCCTCAGAGTCCCAGCAGGAGGCCAGTCCCTGTGCTCCTCAGAGTCCCAGCAGGAGGCCAGTCCCTGTGCTCCTCAGAGTCCCAGCAGGAGGAGGCCCAGTCCCTGTGCTCCTCAGAGTCCCAGCAGGAGGCCAGTCCCTGTGCTCCTCAGAGTCCCAGCAGGAGGCCAGTCCCTGTGCTCCTCAGAGTCCCAGCAGGAGGCCAGTCCCTGTGCTCCTCAGAGTCCCAGCAGGAGGCCAGTCCCTGTGCTCCTCAGAGTCCCAGCAGGAGGCCAGTCCCTGTGCTCCTCAGAGTCCCAGCAGGAGGCCAGTCCCTGTGCTCCTCAGAGTCCCAGTTGGTACATATGGCAAAAACATGTCTTGGATGTCCTCATAAATTCTGAAAATTGATATTCCTGAGACTTCCTGAGACTCTCTGGAGCGGAAGACTTGCTCCCACTTGACAGTCCTCTGAGCCTGTGAGGAGGGCGGCCTCAGATTTGATCCCTGCCTGTTCTCCGTCTGTCGGGAAGTAAAAGTGACGCCCAGTGTTTTCCACACGATGGACCGCGAGAACGCCCGCGGCTCTGAGACCACAGACACACGCTCAGATGGGAAGTGCCAATCTGCTCTGTAAACACACTCCCACACAGCAGCCAGACCTCGGAAACTCAGACATGTGTCTCTGTGTCGGGATTTGGAGATTACAAACTGTATAAAGGCTTATGCTAAAGCTAGAGATTTTATACTTGCTTCTTTATTATGCCAGAGCGAGTCGGAGCAAAACATAGTCCATTAACACTTCCTATTGGGCTTCATTGAGCTAACGGGTTAGCTTTCTCCATCTGTATACAGTCTGTGCCTTATCTGCACATAGTAAATACTGTAAAAATGTACAATGTACAATATCACAATTTCAGAACGTCCACTGAATGTCACTTTATCTACTCATTATTGTGCCGACACTGTATATATATAATTTACACTACTTAGATAGAGAATGACAGACATATAGAGATATATTGATATTTACAAGCCGTTCTTTTACAGCTAGCTAAGAAGCATAGCAGCTACTTGTATTGTATATGTCGTGTTCTGTGTGCTCTTACTTGTGTCCTGTATTTGCGCCTTAGAATTGAAAAATCCCCACCGTGGGACGAACAAAGACTCTCTTATGTACTCACGGTGACAGTGGCCAGCAGACCCTCGGGGACGTTGGCCACGATGATGCCGATGAGGAAGATGACGGCCTCCAGCCAGGTGTATCCAAGTATGAGGGACAGGATGAAGAAGGAGACTCCCAGGAACACGGCCACTCCGGTGATGATGCGGATGAAGTGCTCGATCTCGATGTTGATGGGAGTCCTCCGCACCTCCAGCTCCGAGGCCAGGGTGGCAATGCGCCCCATCACCGTGCGGTCTCCGGTCGCAATCACCACGCCACGCGCCGCACCTAAGATGGACGCCAATACCAACGTTATAGAACCACACGCTGTATCTAAGATGGACGCCAACAGCAGTTATAGAAGGACAAGGGTTTGTCACGTTTTCTGTTTACTTTGAATGAAGTAAGTAATGTTTATTTATATACCACCTTTCACAGACCAGAGTCACAAAGTGGTTTACAATTGAAATCGATTTTGTAAATAAAGACACTTGTTTGTGCCTGGATTGATTTCAGTTTTTGAAACCTTTCCTGTTTTTCTGAGAGCACAACTGTTTCTATGATGGACTGAAACCTGTAGCAAATGTAGCAGCCACATCCTTGTTTGCAAGCAACCTCTATCTTAATAGATACTTTTCTTTATAGTAAATGTTTGTCCAGAATCTTTCACTATGTGGTTTTTACCTTTTCTACTGCCACTGGAAACATACCAAAGCAACAGGTAACATCTGCACAGAGGACTGTGATCCAGTGTAGGATGTCCAGGGACACAGGCTGATTTGTCTCAACAGGAGACCTATGTGCTGCAGCAGGGGCAGGTGTCAATCTGACGTGTAGCTTACATGATTAAAGATTTCCCTGACGAATGAAGACATCTGACGTCATTGGACTGAGACAGACTTGCAGAGGAGCCCTGAGCCTCCTGCTGAGCTGCTGCAGCGAAACCACCCCCGAGCTCTATGCACTGATGATGTGACTCAGGAACAGACACAGATCCTTTCATTGTTTAAATATATACAGAGACTTGGAGACTTCTTAAACTGTTTATATGTTTTAACAGGGCGGTTGGACTTGCATATAAAGCTTTAAAGCCCCTCTGTCTGTGGGAGCAGATCCCTCCCTTAATCTGTGCCTCCTGAGGTTTCTCAGCTTTCTCCTAATGGGTTTTTGTAGGAGGGTCTCTAGAGAAAAGACTTGTCCAGGTTTGTTGTACAGTCTGACAGCTGAAGGAACAAAGGATCTCTTAAAACGTTCTGTTCGGCAGCGCAGAGATAGGAGCCTGTTGCTACGGTTACTCCTCTGAGCGGCCATAGTGTCATTACATGCAGAGGGTGTCATGCAGAGGGAGTCATGCAGAGGGTGTCATGCAGAGGGAGTCATGCAGAGGGAGTCATGCAGAGGGAGTCATGCAGAGGGTGTCATGCAGAGGGAGTCATGCAGAGGGAGCCATGCAGAGGGAGTCATGCAGAGGGAGTCATGCAGAGGGTGTCATGCAGAGGGAGTCATGCAGAGGGAGTCATGCAGAGGGTGTCATGCAGAGGGAGTCATGCAGAGGGAGCCATGCAGAGGGAGTCATGCAGAGGGTGTCATGCAGAGGGTGTCATGCAGAGGGAGTCATGCAGAGGGAGTCATGCAGAGGGAGCCATGCAGAGGGAGTCATGCAGAGGGAGCCATGCAGAGGGTGTCATGCAGAGGGAGTCATGCAGAGGGAGTCATGCAGATGCATGCAGAGGGAGTCATGCAGAGGGAGTCATGCAGAGGAGTCATGCAGAGGGAGTCATGCAGAGGGAGTCATGCAGAGGGAGTCATGCAGGGTGTCATGCAGAGTCATGCAGAGGGAGTCATGCAGAGGGAGTCATGCAGAGGGTGTCATGCAGAGGGAGTCATGCAGAGGGAGCATGCAGAGGGCGTCATGCAGAGGGAGTCATGCAGAGGGAGTCATGCAGAGGGAGTCATGCAGAGGGTCATGCAGAGGGAGTCATGCAGAGGGCGTCATGCAGAGGGAGTCATGCAGAGGGCGTCATGCAGAGGGGTCATGCAGAGGGTGTCATGCAGAGGGAGTCATGCAGAGGGGAGTCATGCAGAGGGAGTCATGCAGAGGGCGTCATGCAGAGGGAGTCATGCAGAGGGTGTCATGCAGAGGGAGTCATGCAGAGGGAGCCATGCAGAGGGAGTCATGCAGAGGGAGTCATGCAGAGGGAGTCATGCAGAGGGAGCCATGCAGAGGGAGTCATGCAGAGGGAGTCATGCAGAGGGTGTCATGCAGAGGGCGTCATGCAGAGGGAGTCATGCAGAGGGAGCCATGCAGAGGGCGTCATGCAGAGGGAGTCATGCAGAGGGCGTCATGCAGAGGGTGTCATGCAGAGGGAGTCATGCAGAGGGCGTCATGCAGAGGGCGTCATGCAGAGGGTGTCATGCAGAGGGTGTCATGCAGAGGGCGTCATGCAGAGGGTGTCATGCAGAGGGCGTCATGCAGAGGGAGTCATGCAGAGGGCGTCATGCAGAGGGTGTCATGCAGAGGGAGTCATGCAGAGGGAATCATGCAGAGGGAGCCATGCAGAGGGAATCATGCAGAGGGTGTCATGCAGAGGGAGTCATGCAGAGGGAGTCATGCAGAGGGTGTCATGCAGAGGGAGCCATGCAGAGGGAGTCATGCAGAGTGAGTCATGCAGAGGGCGTCATGCAGAGGGTGTCATGCAGAGGGAGTCATGCAGAGGGAGCCATGCAGAGGGAGTCATGCAGAGGGCGTCATGCAGAGGGAGCCATGCAGAGGGAGTCATGCAGAGGGCGTCATGCAGAGGGTGTCATGCAGAGGGTGTCATGCAGAGGGGAGCCATGCATAGGGAGTCATGCAGAGGGCGTCATGCAGAGGGCGTCATGCAGAGGGCGTCATGCAGAGGGCGTCATGCAGAGGGCGTCATGCAGAGGGAGTCATGCAGAGGGTGTCATGCAGAGGGTGTCATGCAGAGGGAGCCATGCAGAGGGTGTCATCTAGAGGGAGTCATGCAGAGGGCGTCATGCAGAGGGCGTCATGCAGAGGGTGTCATGCATAGGGAGTCATGCAGAGGGCGTCATGCAGAGGGTGTCATGCAGAGGGCGTCATGCAGAGGGAGTCATGCAGAGGGAGTCATGCAGAGGGTGTCATGCAGAGGGAGTCATGCAGAGGGAGTCATGCAGAGGGTGTCATGCAGAGGGAGTCATGCAGAGGGTGTCATGCAGAGGGAGTCATGCAGAGGGTGTCATGCAGAGGGAGCCATGCAGAGGGTGTCATGCAGAGGGAGCCATGCAGAGGGTGTCATGCAGAGGGTGTCATGCAGAGGGAGCCATGCAGAGGGTGTCATGCAGAGGGAGTCATGCAGAGGGTGTCATGCAGAGGGTGTCATGCAGAGGGTGTCATGCAGAGGGAGTCATGCAGAGGGTGTCATGCAGAGGGAGTCATGCAGAGGGTGTCATGCAGAGGGAGCCATGCAGAGGGAGTCATGCAGAGGGTGTCATGCAGAGGGAGTCATGCAGAGGGTGTCATGCAGAGGGAGCCATGCAGAGGGTGTCATGCAGAGGGTGTCATGCAGAGGGAGCCATGCAGAGGGTGTCATGCAGAGGGTGTCATGCAGAGGGAGTCATGCAGAGGGTGTCATGCAGAGGGTGTCATGCAGAGGGAGTCATGCAGAGGGAGTCATGCAGAGGGAGTCATGCAGAGGGAGTCATGCAGAGGAGTCAGGGAGGAGTCATGCAGGGAGGGAGTCATGCAGAGGGAGTCAGAGGGAGTCATGCAGAGGGAGTCATGCAGAGGGAGTCATGCAGAGGGAGTCATGCAGAGGGAGTCATACAGAGGGTGTCATGCAGAGGGAGTCATGCAGAGGGAGTCATACAGAGGGAGTCAGAGGGAGTCATGCAGAGGGAGTCAGAGGGAGTCATGCAGAGGGAGTCATGCAGAGGGTGTCATGCAGAGGGAGTCATGCAGAGGGAGTCATGCAGAGGGAGTCAGAGGGAGTCATGCAGAGGGAGTCATGCAGAGGGAGTCATACAGAGGGTGTCATGCAGAGGGAGTCATGCAGAGGGTGTCATGCAGAGGGAGTCAGAGGGAGTCATGCAGAGGGAGTCAGAGGGAGTCATGCAGAGGGAGTCATGCAGAGGGAGTCATGCAGAGGGTGTCATGCAGAGGGAGTCATGCAGAGGGAGTCATGCAGAGGGAGTCAGAGGGAGTCATGCAGAGGGAGTCATGCAGAGGGAGTCATGCAGAGGGAGTCATACAGAGGGAGTCATGCAGAGGGAGTCATGCAGAGGGAGTCAGAGGGAGTCATGCAGAGGGTGTCATGCAGAGGGAGTCATGCAGAGGGAGTCATGCAGAGGGAGTCATGCAGAGGGAGTCATGCAGAGGGAGTCATGCAGAGGGAGTCATGCAGAGGAGTCATGCAGAGGGAGTCAGAGGGAGTCATGCAGAGGGAGTCATGCAGAGGGAGTCAGAGGGAGTCATGCAGAGGGAGTCATGCAGAGGGAGTCATGCAGAGGGAGTCATGCAGAGGGAGTCATACAGAGGGTGTCATGCAGAGGGAGTCATGCAGAGGGAGTCATACAGAGGGAGTCATGCAGAGGGAGTCAGAGGGAGTCATACAGAGGGAGTCATGCAGAGGGAGTCATACAGAGGGTGTCATGCAGAGGGAGTCATGCAGAGGGAGTCAGAGGGAGTCATGCAGAGGGTGTCATGCAGAGGGAGTCATGCAGAGGGAGTCATGCAGAGGGAGTCATGCAGAGGGTGTCATGCAGAGGGAGTCATGCAGAGGAGTCATGCAGAGGGAGTCAGAGGGAGTCATGCAGAGGGAGTCATGCAGAGGGTGTCATGCAGAGGGAGTCATGCAGAGGGAGTCATACAGAGGGAGTCATGCAGAGGGAGTCATGCAGAGGGTGTCATGCAGAGGGAGTCATACAGAGGGAGTCATGCAGAGGGAGTCATGCAGAGGGAGTCATGCAGAGGGAGTCAGAGGGAGTCATGCAGAGGGAGTCGTGCAGAGGGAGTCATACAGAGGGTGTCATGCAGAGGGAGTCATGCAGAGGGAGTCATGCAGAGGGAGTCATGCAGAGGGAGTCATACAGAGGGAGTCATGCAGAGGGAGTCAGAGGGAGTCATGCAGAGGGTGTCATGCAGAGGGAGTCATACAGAGGGAGTCATGCAGAGGGAGTCAGAGGGAGTCATGCAGAGGGTGTCATGCAGAGGGAGTCATGCAGAGGGAGTCAGAGGGAGTCATGCAGAGGGTGTCATGCAGAGGGTGTCATACAGAGGGAGTCATGCAGAGGGAGTCATGCAGAGGGTGTCATCAGAGGGAGTCATGCAGAGGGTGTCATGCAGAGGGACTCATACAGAGGGAGTCATGCAGAGGGAGTCATACAGAGGGAGTCATGCAGAGGGAGTCATGCAGAGGGAGTCATGCAGAGGGACTCATACAGAGGGAGTCATGCAGAGGGAGTCATACAGAGGGACTCATACAGAGGGAGTCATGCAGAGGGAGTCATGCAGAGGGACTCATACAGAGGGAGTCATGCAGAGGGAGTCATGCAGAGGGAGTCATGCAGAGGGAGTCATACAGAGGGAGTCATGCAGAGGGAGTCATGCAGAGGGAGTCATGCAGTGGGAGTCATGCAGAGGGAGTCATGCAGAGGGAGTCATGCAGAGGGAGTCAGAGGGAGTCATGCAGAGGGAGTCAGAGGGAGTCATGCAGAGGGAGTCATGCAGAGGGAGTCATGCAGAGGGAGTCATGCAGAGGGTATCATGCAGAGGGAGTCATGCAGAGGGTGTCATGCAGAGGGAGTCAGAGGGAGTCATGCAGAGGGAGTCAGAGGGAGTCATGCAGAGGGAGTCATGCAGAGGGAGTCATGCAGAGGGTGTCATGCAGAGGGAGTCATGCAGAGGGAGTCATGCAGAGGGAGTCATGCAGAGGGAGTCATGCAGAGGGAGTCAGAGGGAGTCATGCAGAGGGAGTCATGCAGAGGGAGTCATGCAGAGGGAGTCATGCAGAGGGAGTCATGCAGAGGGAGTCATGCAGAGGGAGTCAGAGGGAGTCATACAGAGGGAGTCAGAGGGAGTCATGCAGAGGGTGTCATGCAGAGGGAGTCATGCAGAGGGAGTCATGCAGAGGGAGTCATGCAGAGGGTGTCATGCAGAGGGAGTCATGCAGAGGGAGTCATGCAGAGGGAGTCATGCAGAGGGAGTCATGCAGAGGGAGTCATGCAGAGGGTGTCATGCAGAGGGAGTCATGCAGAGGGAGTCAGAGGGAGTCATACAGAGGGAGTCATGCAGAGGGTGTCATGCAGAGGGAGTCATGCAGAGGGAGTCAGAGGGAGTCATGCAGAGGGTGTCATGCAGAGGGTGTCATGCAGAGGGAGTCATGCAGAGGGTGTCATGCAGAGGGAGTCAGAGGGAGTCATGCAGAGG